TAACTCCATATGGTTCGGAACCACGAAAGGAGGATTGGGGATGATGGTATGAAGTGAGTCATGGAGTCGTATTCGCCCGTATTGGCCTCTATCGATTCTTATAGTGAAAAGTGATTCCTGCGATCTCAAAGGCATGCAAACAAAGATTCAATTTGCTTCAAACTATTATTAGGCTAAATTGGTTGAATATTAATGCAACATATAATTCTAATATATTATGAACACTTGATTAAAAACAAGATTAAAAGGAACCTAAACCGGTTGTCCAAATTATCTTATTAGGCGTGATTTTCAATTACATATATTCCCTTTAAACATGAAATATGGTGATCAATAAATATAATAAAATAAACATTAACATTGGAAGCAATTTAACCATAATAGCGTTAGTCAAATCAAATATAAAATAACCAAATCATGATACTAGCAATAAGAAAATAAAATAAGAGTAATTAAATTAATTAATTACTCACATTCCTCGTGTTCCTTTAAATTGCTACATCATGAATAAACTGTTAGTAACTTCAATAAAAAAAATATAAAGCAAATTGAAACAATTAAATTAAATAAAAAGTAAAGTTGATTTGGTCCAAACCCTCAGTTAATTCTACCTTTCACACCTTGGTTTAAGTATAGAACTTTGGGTTACGTATGAACTCCTTGGAGTGCTTAAAGGAAGAATGGTGTAATTAGAAATATAGATTTAAGGCTTAGAATATGAGAGAGAGAAAGAAGAGAATGATTTTTGGTGTAAAAGAGAGGAAGAGAGAATGATTTTATGATCAAGATTGTTGATGATTGAAAAAAGGGTGATATGACCTCTATTTATAGGGAAAAAAGAGGGTCGAAGAATCAAGAAAAGATCGAGTTCGAATCGGATTAAAACTCTTGCGATAGACAGCAGTTTTTGCGGTTTTTGTTTTTATCATATCTTTTGATCCAAAATTCGAAATAAGATGAATAAGATATTGTTGGAAAGACCTTGAAGTCTACTTTCTAACCCAATAAGAATCAGATTAAAATATTTTTTATAACAAAAGATATAGCCAAAATAGTGAAATGGTGTCAGTTTTGGATAGAGTTTGACATTTTATTCATATCTTTTCCGTTATAGCTCGGAATTGATATTATAATATATCATTGGAAAGATAATTTCAAGGGCTACCCAACCATATAAAATTTGGATAAAAAATATGAGGCACGAAAATAATATCTGTCTATCTTTTAATGTCTTTCAATTCGAATAAAATTAGGACTTTCAAAAAAAGGAGTTTTATTCAACTTCAAACTCTTTAATCTTATCTTTTCAAAAAGGATAATTAGGATCTTTTAGAAACTTATAGAAGTTTCTAATTAATCCTAATTGGTTTAGGAATTGGATTAAATAATTTGGACCCTCCACATGATTATTGGGTCGTAGGTAAGGTGGGCTTAGGTTCGGTTTGGGCTCAATTTAATATTTTGGCCATAACTTATTCGTTATAACTCGGATTTAGGCTTATAATATATTTTTGGAAAGATCTTTTCAAACCTCATCCAATTATTAAATCATTGGACCCAAATTATGGACCCAAATAAACTGGATTAAACGTTTTTATAAAAAGGACACGAAATGAATTATTTTAAAGGACACAAAATGAATTATTTTGGGTTTTAAGGCACGAAAAGAGGAAAATAAGTTATGGTTTGGGGAAATGGGCTAGGAATTGGGTTGGTTTATGAAATGGAAATGTGGATTTAAGCTCTCCAAGATTAAATACTTAACCTGACCAATAATGGCGGTGAAAGGTTGTTCATCATCGGGTTTGGTTTTGGGGAGACATTTTTAGGTGTCTACAACCATATATACCTCATCATCTTCAAATACAAGCTTCTGGAAAGCTTTCTTGCCTTCTAGATATTTAGTAGGAGACTTCTCCTTCACCTTAACCTTGATCTTGTACCTCTTGTTTTTGGGAGTAAGCTTATCGAGAGGCACATTTGAGGTTTCATCTAGTTCATTTACATACAAGAAAAGGTTATTCCATAGCATTTAACAATCTTATAAATTGTATAGAATTACTTAACTTGAGATTATAAATGAATATTGTTCCAAAATGTTGATATATTTTGTTCACAAATCAAGGTATATAAGTTATGTTGTGCAATTTAACAAAGAAACATGTTCTTTAACATTAGCTAAATAATTATACAAAATTTTGGTAATCAACTCTGAATGACATAATTTTGTGAAATTTGTAGCACATATATGGTCAAAATTGAAAAAGGCAAAGGGTTCTAGATGTATTAGTAATTTTTCTTAGACAGATAAAATGTATCCTAAGTAGGGTGTTCAAATCCGAGTACCCGAGTTTTCGGGTACCCGAAAAAGCGGGTACCCGGATCTTCAGGTAGTTTGGACCTCGGCCCATGTCCCAACGCGAGAAAATCGGGTACTCGGTTTTCGGGTACCCGAGTTTTCCGGGTCGGGTTAGAGGGTACCCGATTTTATTTTATTTTTTTTGGAGATTGATCATTAACAATTAGAAAAGAAGCAATTCAGTAGCTCTAATCCACCAATTAATACATATTCAACCGAAAATTAGTCTGCTTCCCTTCTCTAACCATGAACTCTATATAATTTATACATATTACATATCATAAATCTTTAATAATGTAAATCCCACATCAAGTTCACAAACACACCTTCAATGAAAGGGATTTATATGACAAAAATATTCAATATACAAATTGAAGAATACCAAAAATCGATCACGAAAGAGAAATTGAATAATACACAACAAAATGGACATCAGCTCCCTCTACCCCTCGTCCGACGACCACATCATAGTCAGCTACAGGGCCCTACACCATCAATCTCCAACTCAAACAATCTCCGACCTTGATAAATGGTGAGGTGAGATGGTGAGGTTGTTGCAAATTGTGGATATTGTTGTCGCCGCTTGCATGCATTGGGGTGAGATGTAGAGAAAATTTTACATTTTACTGTGAGAAGAGAGTGGAGGGATGAATTGAAATCAGAAGAACAAAGAGAAAGTAAAAAAAAAAAAAAAAAAGGGAAAGAGAAAGAGGTAGGAGGGAATGACGGCTAAGAATTTTGGAGTGAGAAAAAAAAACCCTAAAAGGCTAAGATTTAGTGGGCTGGGCTGAGAATACAAAGTAAGTGACGGTTGTTGTTGTTCATTTCTTTTTTTTTTTGTTGATTTATTTTTTAACCGGGTATTCGGGTACCCGATATTAGCACAACGTGTCCCATGTCCCGGCCCACAAAACTGTTATTTTACCGGGATGGGTACCCGACCCGCCAAAAACAGAAAAAATTCCTAATTTCCCATCGGGTTTTTTACGGGTCATCGGGTAATCGGGACGGGACAACCGGGTCGGGTTTTTTTTAACACCCCTAATCTTAAGGAGCACTTAATTTCTTATTAACAATAATAATTAAGTTTTTGTTTCACAAATAAGCCCAATAATGTAATCAGAAAGTATCACATAAACTAACAGTGAAGTTGATGTTTTTTACATAAATAAAATACACCCTAAGCAGCACTAAATTTGTTGAATGTAGCAGTAATAATTAAGTTTCATTTTTTAAAATAAGTGTAGCAATTTTATTAGTCAATATCAGATAAATTGACAGCGAAGTTGTTGGAAATACTATTAGAAAGATAGAAATGTGGTTTGTAATAAGAACTATATGAACTATGTATTAGCAAGTTAGAAATCTTAAATATAGGCTTGTAATACAACATTAAATGAAAGAAAACATGCTCAAAGCTGAAAATAGGACAAGGCTAGCAACTTAACTAAATTATGGTCAGAGAAACATTTTTTGACACTAAATATAGAAGTGCTATAGTAACAAGATGTGCAGCAAAGATACTAATAAAGTAATAACAATTATTACCATTAATGAAGGCATGCTATTTATTGAAGACATGTAAGAAGCAAATTCTGTAAAGAAATGAAAACAAGAACATTAATGCACATACCTTAACAATCGAAAAGTATGAGCTTCCAGCTGCAGAGATACTATATTTTAAGAGAGAAATGAGATAGGCATTTTAAAGGAAGAAGGTTCTTTTAAATAGAACAAGGACAGCACTTGAACTCACATTTTTTAAAAAGGAGAAGGCTTCTGAGAATTCATAATGTGTACTGTCCAGTGGAAATAAACTTACCATGATGATACTTGGTTAACCAATAGATATTTTACTGCTAAAATTTTATTGGGACTTATGAATATTGCAAAACTTTTTGGTTAACATCTCTGTTAATTCTTGGAAGTGTAACAATAGTTTGTTTGAAATTGAACCTTTTTAGTTTAATATTTGTTTAATATAATTTGCACAAGGCATTTTTTAAGATGCTTTTTGGGAGATCATCAAATATATCTGTTTTAAAAAATGATGATAGTTGTTTTAAAGTTTTTCTATTTATTTTTAAAGTTTGTTTTAATAATTAATTAATTAATATTACAACAACCACTTAGAGGCTGCCACGTGGCATATTAGTCATTAATGACTAACGATGTTAACCGCCGTTAGTCATTAAGGGCATTTGATGACATTTTTCTTAAACTCAGGAGTATTTGGTGAATTTGAAAGTTTTGATGGGTATTTGGTGAATAAAAAAATAACTCAGGGGCAATTGATGAAATTTCCGTTAAATATATGTAGTCTTATGTTGCACATTATATGATAAGCAAATAATATATGTAATATGTAGATGAAAATATGTTTATAAATATCGAAATAGTCATGCCATATGCAGAACAATTGCAAACAATGTATTGTTGTTGCATAGCAAGTTGAAGGTGCATACAAAAAAGGCCACAAAATATAACAACATGTTCATAGTACTTCCTGTATAAAAGAACAGGGAAAAAATGTGCTGTTATAAAATGATCACTAAAGGAAGAAATAAAAAAAAAAACTTGTCTGACCAATGTGTGTTCATGCCAAAAAGAACTACTGCTATAACACATAGTCTGCAAGTGTTTAATGTTGTGCCAAATGAGAAGCATGCATCATCAATTCCTGGAACAACTGCAGAACAAAGACACAAACATAAGTCTCTATATAATATGGTAATTTGTAGTCAAATTGCCCTAGATATATATATAAAAGGGTGCATACCATAAATTTAACCTTATTTAAAATCATTTTAGTTAGATGATATTGGCTAGCTTCAAAACCTCATAGGACACGATGTTTCGAACAGTCGTTGATGAGACGGAATCAGATTGCTGAGTTGTATACACTGTCACTTCTTTAGACTTTTTTGCACGTGAGAGAGAAAAATACAGTTGACCATGCGAGAAGCATGGCTTTGGGAGGTACACTAAAACACGACTGAGAGTCTGCCCCTGAGACTTGTTTATAGTCATAGCAAAGCTGAGTTTAAGAGGAAATTGTATCCGTTCAAACTGAAAAGGATACTTGGAAGAAGCTGAAGGCCTTAAGTTCACGCGTGGAACAAAATAAAATTTTCCTTTATAATGTCCATTGGCTATTTCACAAATAATTGAATTAGGAAGAAAGTGCCTACAAATAAGACGAGTACCATTACACATTCCCTTAGATGGTGCCAGATTACGTAATAAAATAACAAGACTATTAACCTTAAGCACAAGTTGATGCGGGCTCATCCCTCCTGGGCAAAGTGTGTTTAGAAATTCTGTTGGATAGAGGCTGCAATTATCATCAAGGTTTGAATCGTAGCTTAGATAGACAGTAGGTATTCCAGGAAACTGTTCAATTAAGTAGTCATTTATGGAATCAACTTCCACATTCATTGGTGTGAGGATTGCTCTTTCATTGAATATGCCACTATCAAATGTTGGATTTGAAATTTCTGGAAAGATCATTGCAGTTAGCACAGAAATTGAATCCTCATTTGCAACTATATTATGAACTATGTGTTCAGGTAGTTGCACATTAGCACTTTCATCTGATTGTAATTGGCCATTGCCCAAGGCTAGGAGAAAAGCTGAATAGGATAAGGCTTCCTTAGCTCTGATGTTCGCTGTTAACCGAAATTTGACTAAAAGGGGCCAAATGTAAGAGCTGACAACACTAACACCAACAACCTCTCTTTGTGAACGACGGGGAAAAATAGGAAAAACTTGTCTAAAATCTCCCTCAAAGACAATTACTTAACCGCCGAATGGCTGATCAGGATGGAAGAGATCGCGCAACAACAAATCCAATGATTTTATGTTCTCTTTACGAGCCATGGATGCTTCATCCCAAATTATCAGGGCAGTAGCTTTGATTAGAGCAGCTAAGCTTCCCTGTTTTGGGACATCACAAGCAAGTGACACCTCTAAATTAAGTGGAATTTTAAACCTAGAGTGAGTTGTTCTGCCAGAGGGAATGTTAGAAGTAGCTATGCCTGATGTCGTTGTTGGCAGCACAATCTTGCCCGCCAAACGTACTTCAGCAAATAAAGCATTATAGAGAAATGTTTTGCCTGTTGTAGGGAATAATTTCAAGCCTTAAAAATCCCACTAGCTTGAACCCCATTGTGATCATACACTAAAGTACGGTGGCGTCCAAAAGGGAAGAAGATAGAGCAAAAGAGTCGCCAACAAGTTTTTAAGGAACTCGTAAACCGTTCATAGGATGAAGGTTACACCCCTTAACGATCCAAGATATCGTCAACTCCATAAGGTCATGAACCAAATAAGGGTTCGGGGATGATGGTACAAATCCAACCTAAAAGAGATTGAACCTGCCCTAATAATAGGCCTCTACTTTATTCTGATCGTATTCATGTGCGCTTTCTGACTAATATGCAATCAATAGGTTAGCCCTAAACCTGTTTATCTATGTTGGTTGAATTTAATGCACAAATAAACTATTATTGGCGATCACTTGAATTATAATCACAATTAACCTAACAAGATTATTAAATATCTTATTAAGCGTGGTTGCAAATACCAATTCCCTTTAACCTGCAATAAAAGGTGATCAAGCAATAACAATAAATAATAATATGCATATCAAGCAACATAATAAATAATCAATAATCAATCATAATCATAAATATTAGGAAGAACATAGGAAGCATCATACTTTTAATCATACTTAATATTAAAGATACCCTAGACATGATACTAGGAATCATAAATAACAATCTAAGCATGATATCTACATCATAAAATCAACCAATCAATAAAATCCCTTAAAGTACTTACTTGGATGCCTCGTACCTCTTTCTAATTACAAAATACACGCGTTAGTAACTTCAAGGAAAATAATAATCAAAATAATTAAATTAAATAATTGAAAGAGAGATTTGGGACCAAACCCTCAGAAATTAAAACCTTTCACGTCTAGGGCGAAGGCAACTTCGAATATGGCTAGGTGTTTCTAGATCTTGTGAATGCGGAATTTTGTGTGAAAAAGTAAGGTTTAGAAAAGAATGCTAAAAGAATTAATGTTATTGAAAATTGATGAATGAATGATGAAGAAGAGAATTGATTATTGGTAAAGTGATTGTTGATTGTAGATGTGAATGAAAACGGAGTTTTTGATACGATATTAATAGAGAAAATCAGCAAAAAAAGATAATTTATCAAAACAGAGTCTGAAGACCACAAAACTAACTTGGCGCCAGCCCTGGCTCATTGGCGCCAGGACCAATGGCTAGCGCCAGGCGCCAATGGCTGGCGTCTGGCGCCAATCCTGATTCCAGGCGCCAAGGGCTGGGGTTGGACGCCAAATTGGATTTCAACGCGTTTTCGAAAATCTGATAAAATTCCCATACTGGAAGATAAAATAATATAATTTCAGTCGAAAATGCTATTTGATCTAATTAAAACTCTGAAGAGTCCTAATTGAATTAAGAATGATAAGACCTTCTAGAATGTTCTAGAAGACCAAAACCATTCCTAATTACATTAGGAATGATAAATCATATTAGGCCCTCCCCTAGATCATTGGGCCGTACTTAAAGCTCAAACCGGGCCCAGTTTAGTAAATTGACCATAAATTCCTCAATATTCATCGGAATTGGGCTTATAATATATCGTTGGAAAGGTCTTTGAAAGCCCCATCCAACTACACAACTATCGGACCCATATCATGGACCAACCAAACTGGATTGGCTGTTTTCTTAAAATAAAGTTTTCAAAAACAGAGAGAAGAGAAAAGAAATAAAACTTTCCGCAACACTAGACCTTTCCACACTTTCGTTTCATTCTATTATGATTCAACGTGAAAGGCACTCATCACTGGGTTTGGTTTTGGGGAGACACAAATGGGCGTCTACACCTGTCCCACCTGGCCCATCAACAAAAAAACAACCGGGTTTCTCTTCATTGACATAAGCCATAATGTTATTGAATGCATTTGCTTGAGCTTCGTTGAGCTTCTCTCGATAATCAATGCATTCTGGAGGAATTGGTGCTTCAAGTGCATCTTCGATATCCTTTGTAATGCGTATTTCATTACTGTCTTCTTCAATCAAATGGCCTAGGCCAAAATCTTCCAATGACTTTCCCATGGCTTCTAAGTTTTTTTCAAAGTCTCTTACAGTTAGTCTCATCACTTTCTCTTGCTGATTGGGATTTTGTTATGCAAAATCTTCAGAGAGTGAAGTATAAAAATGCAACCAGAGAGCATTTGGGTTGCTTGGTTGGCAAAAGATCAACACAGTTGCAAACAGCTGCCTCAGTGCAGAAGGCATCTGTGCTTCTGATGCTTCCTGCAAACATAATGTAACTGCATTGTCTTGTTGAAATAACCCGAGCTTGATTGCAGCTTCCTGGAAGGTAGGGTAGAGCACACCATCTACAGTTCTAAGATGGTCAAATGAGATTGGACTAATGACTTTACCAAGCAATGAACGTAATAAGAAGCGTTCTCCTTCTGCTGGGCTCACAAAAGCCATTCGCCCAACATTTTTTTTTTGTAACTTCTTCTAATCAATATTTTCTTGCTAGTGTCCCACCTATAATGTGCATTTATTTCAGTGTATCGATACCCTGTGCCTCCAGGGATGTTTGCATTTAGTCTAAAGAATTCTAGCAAAGCAGTAGTACTTCTCTTTTCATCTTGCACAACAGAACCAAGCTGCTCATGAGACCTCATATAAATAGTTTGCATATTTGGTAGGTGCACTGGAAGGAGCTGTACAGAAGGAGTCATCTCAAAGAGATCAAATCCAAATATTCGCCAAGCCGCCTCACATGGTGAAACCCATCTACCAACTTGGAAAGCATCAATTTCATCAACTCCTTGATTTTGTTCACCAACAACATTAAAAGATACACGATCATGACCTTTGTACACATATTTGTACAGGTATTTGACAGCTTGAATGTTTGAACAGACTTCAACATTTAAATGGCAGTCAAATAGCATAGATAAATATGGATTATAAGGTATAACCCAACGGTTATCAAGATTAGCACCGCTGTAGAGAATATTTCAAGCATTAACCCCTAGCTTGAACCCCACTGTGGTCATACACTAAAGTACGATGGAGTCCAAAGGGAAAGAAGATAGAGCAAAAGAGTCGCCAACAAGTTTTTTTAGGAACTTGTAAACCGTTCACGAGGTGAAGGTTACACCCCTTAACGATCCAAGAGATCGTCAACTCCAAAAGGTCTTGAACCAAATAGGGTTCGGGGATGAAGATACAAATCCAACCTAAAAGAGATTGAACCTGCCCTAATAATAGGCCTCTACTTTATTCTGATCGTATTCATGTGAGCTTTCTGACTAACATGCAATCAATAGGATTAACCCTAAACCTGTTTATCTATGTTGGTTGAATATTAATGCACAAATAAATCCATTATTGGTGATCACTTGAATTATAATCATATTAACCCTAAACAAGATTATTAATTATCTTATTAAGCGTGATTACAAGTACAAATTCCCTTTAAACATGCATAAAAGGCGTAATCAAGCAATAAAAATAGATATATCAAGCAACATAATAATAATCATAAAAATAATTATCGTAACAATTATAATCATGATAATAATAATCATAATAAAATAATCATATTTATCATAATCATGTTAAAGTATAATAATAGCAAGATCCTAGGCATGATACTAACAAGATTAATAACAAACCCTAGCATGTCACTAAGCATTAAAAATCAAAGCTTTAACCCTAACATGATACTAACAATCATAAATATTAGGAAGAACATAAAAGGCATCATACTTTTAATCATACTTAATATTAAAGTTACCCTAGACATGATACTAGGAAGATCAAAATGCCCTAACATAACATTAGGAATCATAATAATAACCTAAGCATGATTTCTACATAATAACATCAATAAAAACCATTAAAGTACTTACTTGGATGCCTCGTACCTCTTTCTAATAACAAAATACACACGTTAGTAACTTCAAGGAAAATAATAATCAAAACAATTAAATTAAATAATTAAAAGAGAGATTTGGGACCAAACCCTCAGAAATTAAAACCTTTCACGTCTAGGGCGAAGGCAACTTCGAATATGGCTAGGTGTTTCTAAATCTAATGAATGCGGAATTTTGTATTTGAGAGAAGGCTAGTTTAGAAAAGAGAGAGAGAGAGGGTAATCAAGAGAGTCTTGATGAGAGTTGGTGAGAAAGAGAATTGATGAATGAAAACGGAGTTTTAGGAGACTATTTATAAAGAAAATCAACCAAAAAGATAGAACATCAAAAAACAGAGTTCTGACGAAAAAAGCCAGATTAGCGCCAAACGCTGACCTTAGCGTCAGGCGCTAAGGCTAGCGCCAGGCGCCAATCGTAGCGTCAGGTGCTACAACTGGCGTTTGGCGCTGACTCAGAAATTCACGCGTTTACTTAAAATCAGATAGAAATTGCTGTACATGAGGATAAAATCGTATTTTCCTCAAAAACATTCTTTTATTTCGATTAAAACTCTAAAAAGTCAACAAAAATCAATTTATCAATGCTAATTAAATTAGGAATGAAAAGAACCTTCTAGAAGAATCTAGAAGACTAAAACCATTCCTAATTGCATTAGGAATGATAAATCCATATTAGGCCCTCCTCTAGATCATTGGGCCGCATATAAGGCTCAAACCAGGTTCAGTTCAGTAATTTGGCCATAACTTCCTCAATATTCATCGGAATTGGGCTTATAATATATCGTTGGAAAGCTCTTTTCAAGACCTATCCAACTACACTACTATTGACCCATATCATGGACCAACCAAACTGGATTGGCTATTTTCTTAAAATAGGTTTTTAAAAACAGAGAGAAGAAAAAAAAAATTAAAATTATCCGCAACACTGAACTTTCCACACTTTCACTTCATTCGATTATGATTCGACGTGAAAGGTACTCATCACTGGGTTTGGTTTTGGGGAGACACAAATGGGTGTCTACAACCGCGAATTCTTACATGCTCACCAGTGTTCCTTCTTCTGTACATGGGAAAACCATCTTCATTTGTGGTAGTCTCCTCTAAATATGGCTTAGGGTAGTTGTACTTACAGATAACTTCATTGCCATGATTTTTTTTCATACATGGACATCTAGGATTTACACTACCACATGGACCATGCATCATGTGACCAAGAACAATTTTGCGTAACTGAAGGGTTTTCTGCAGCTACGAATTTGTCATAATCAGAAGGCCTCTTTAGCTTGTATGCATCTTCCAAGATAATTAAAAACTGAGCATGAGGTAGACCTCTCTTTTGAAATTCCACAACATAGACCATAGCTGCAACTTTTCCAAAAACCATGTCTTCCATTATTTTTTTCTTCAGAGCTGTTAGCTTTGCTCTGAAAATCCGAGCAACAATGTCTGGTCGATCACATGCAACTTCTCCAGGAGCTAGCTCAGCTGTGATTTCAGGCCATTTGGCATTACACGTCATTGTTACAAACAAATCAGGCTTGCCAAAGCGCTGCACAAGGGCCATTGCATTTAAGTACCTTCGCTTCATATCTCGTGGACCACCAATGAAAGTTGGAGGCAATATCACTCGACGGCCAATGTTGTTGGCACTTGTTTCTCCATCTTCAACTGTATCCAAAATACCTTGGTACAAATCAGCCCTTATTGTCTGCTGATTTCGCCTAAAAAAATAAAGCCTTGTGTTCTCAATTTTAACATACATATCCACAATGTATTGTTGAAAACATCGTCCTCCCCGAAGTAGCATGTTCCCTGGCCTTATCTGTATCTTGTAGGCATAGTATTCCCGAGGGGATATATGCCTTTTAGAGGTGCCTGAATTATCTGCTGCACCTGTATACAAACAACAAAATGGCAATTAATTTGGCTATTTAGACATGCAAGAGTACAAGACAACATAATTTGAATTAGCTATAATTGAGCACGTACGTTTTGCTTCCTCTGCCAACAGGTCCTCTTCAGTATGAACAGCACATGAAGAAACAGGGATAACATCCATTATAGCCTTTTTCTGTGCACTGACATAATCTTTCCTAAGACCTTGTGTCCAACCACAATCACCACTTGGAAATAAAAGAGGATACTGCAATGGATCATAACATCTATAATAGTGATATATCCGATGAGGCACAGTGGATCTACCTGATACAACTATGTATGGACTGTTAGATTCACTAGAAGACGCATTCTCTGGCCATATAGCAGCCACTTCATCAGTTGAAGGTGCATTATACACGCGCTGATCTAGAACTGTGCTCTGGTTGATGATTATTTGTGTAGTCTCAGTTACTGTGAGTTCTCGCAAGGATCTGAAAAGGCGAGCATATGGATTTACACTCATGACATGCATTAGAATGTTTACTATGTCTTCCCTCACTTCAGGGAAAATTTCTGTTCTGCGCGTAGCTTCATAATGTGCATCATAAAAATAAAGCTGCAGGTATTTAGGCACTTCATTGTCAGGCAGAAAATCTGGCAAGTGGTGATAAATTTGTCCATGTAATAAGAAGAAAAAGATCCCTTTCTCAAAGCTAGCATTTGTTTTGCCTCCAAGCGAGCAAAATGCAAACAAGTTATTATACATACGAGCATATTTTGTGAAATGCAATGAGTATTCATCTTGAGATGTAAAAAGCCGATGCAGCTCAGGAGGAATGTTATTTGTAGCAATTCTAATACTCCCATTGCCACAACAAAAGTGAAGCCATTCATACTGAAATTTCTTAGCACCACATTTAAGACAATAATGAGGTGTTTCCAACTGTAAAGAGGTCAATGGTAGTGGTTGATCGATAGCAGCAGCTTCTTCATCTAGAAAATAGGATACTAAAATCATATTCCTACTAACACTGGGAAATTTTAGGCAAAAGAACTGAAGATAGACTCACTAATTTTTTCCTTCTTAGGTTGGTTTTGTTTGCCTTTAACCCCCCTTTTTTTGTCAGTGTTCTCAGCGCACCCTGTGCATTGGTTTCACCATATTCACTATATACACACAGATCAGCAAAGAAGTTAGTGCAAGCACGGCTATAAAATAAAAATAAGTGCACTCCAATATTTAAGGTGTCACAACCTTACTGAATAATCTACTGAA